CCTTATCCCCTTCAGAGTTCCACAAATCTTGAGAGTGACCAAGGCATTCATTTCATTTCTCAAAATACATAACATTGGGTTCTTTAATAAGAGGGAATTCAACAGAAATTATCCCTGCTTTACTGGCCTCAGGCTGCAGGTGTCATAGAGTACCATCATAGCATACTTAAACAAGTTTAAATTTAATTAAATAAAACAGGACACATTTCAGTAATCCATTAAACATCAGGGGTGAATTGTAACAGAATCTGATTCCATATTTGATGTTTGACCACTGACAGTTTTGAAGCCCCACAACTCCTCCTTTTTTTTTTTTTTTTGAGACGGAGTCTTGCTCTGTGCCCCAGGCTGGAGTGCAGTGGCGCGATCTCGGCTCACTGCAAGCTCCGCCCCCCCGGGTTCACGCCATTCTCCTGCCTCAGCCTCCCGAGTAGCTGGAACTACAGGCGCCCGCCACCTCGCCCGGCTAATTTTCTTGTATTTTTAGTAGAGACGGGGTTTCACCGTGTTAGCCAGGATGGTCTCGATCTCCTGACCTCGTGATCCGCCCGTCTCGGCCTCCCAAAGTGCTGGGATTACAGGCTTGAGCCACCGCGCCCGGCCAACTCCTCCTTAATCTTTGCCTTCCATTTGGTAGACAAAAAAGCCTAGGTGTTTCCTCCCTTGGCTCCAGCAGGTAAGTTCAAACACTGACTTGTGCATGGGAAAACCATGACCTATCCCCAGCCCTTAACCCCAATAAGACCCAAGGCAACTTGCCCCTCCCTTGTTCTCAAGCCATTTGGGGGCCTTTTGGGGAGCCTGTTGTGCTCTGCCCAGAATGTCTCATGCCGTCTTTGTGTATATGTGGCATTATCAGTCTCCACATTCAAACCACATTTGGGTAGAGGAGCTGATCTTTGCTCTGCAGGGCAACCGTAAACAACCGGCACAAGTGTCAAGAAAGGAAGCCTGAGGAACTATCCCAGATTAAAGGAGACTAAGAAGAAAAGACAATTAAAGGCAATAAGCAACCCTGGACTGAATACTGGTCAAGAAAAGGGGCAATAGTAGGACAACGGGCAAAACTGGAATAAGGTCTCCAGGTGAATTAATAGTATTGTATCAATGTCAATCTTCTGGTTTGGATGGTAGTTTTGTTGATGTTACCATATGAAGAAATTGGGAGATATGTTTATGGAAATTTTTTGTGCAATTTTGTAATTCTTCATAAGTATAACATTATTGCAACTTGTAAAGTTTTAAAATGTTTTAACTTTAAATGACTTTTCCAGACTGAAGCAACATATTCCTCCTTTACACATTTTACTTAAGGCATTTTTTTTTTTTTTTTTTGAGTCAGCATCTCCCTCTGCCACCACGGCTGGACTGCAGTGGCATGATCTTGGCTCACTGCGACCTCCACTTCTCAGGT